GCCATTCCCACCGCCGCGCTGCAGTTTAAGATCCGCGCCCCACGCCCTGGGAGCCTCGTGCTTACCGGCCTCCTGGCGGCCGCTGAATTATTTCATTCTAGGCGGAGGGCGGGGGAGCAAAGGGACCCCGCAGCCCAGCCGTTCCGGGCGCTGGCAGCGTGTAGAGGCTTGTGCGTGCGCTACTCGCCGGCTGCGGAAAAGACGCGGGAGAGAGTCAGTCCCGGGCTGCAGCGGCGTGTGTGCGGGCGTGTTGGACTGGACAGCGAAGCTAAAGCAGAACCAGGTGGACCTGAGCAGCCATGCTTCCCGGGGTGGGCGTGTTCGGCACCAGCCTCACTGCCCGAGTCATCATCCCTCTGCTGAAAGACGAGGGTTTCGCGGTGAAGGCGCTGTGGGGCCGCACACAGGAGGAAGCGGAGGAGCTGGCCAAAGAGATGAGCGTTCCCTTCTATACGAGTCGCATTGACGAGGTGCTGCTGCATCAGGACGTGGACTTAGTGTGCATCAACCTGCCGCCGCCCCTCACCAGGCAGATCGCTGTCAAAACCCTGGGTGAGTGGCCCCTCCCCCACCTCCTCTCCTGCCTCCTCTCCTCGCCTTTCCCGCTGCTTTTTCTCCTCTCTCCCTCTCTTCCTCCCAGAAGCTTACAAGGCATCTACGCGGACCCGAGGACCTGAGACCCCACATTCCGTTCGCAGCGCCCTCCTTCCTCATCCCTGGCCCTCAACGCCTCTTTGCTTCCCTCCGCCCTTCTGGCTCCACCTGGACGCGCTTCCCCACGTGTGCGGCGCGGGGGCTGTAGGAGGCGCATGCTCCGGGGATGGGGATGAGGCGCATCAGCTGTTGAGGACTGTGGATGGCTGCTCTGAGGGAGAGAAAACTAAGCCCCCAGCCGTGTGTGTAGTGCCGGAGAATGTGCGTGCGCGCCTGCGAGAGGCGAGTGCGCGCCCCAGAACGCTGAATAAAGGGCCCCACACACCTTCCTGGTTTCCCGGGGGGCGGTAGACCTGACGATTAGCAGCTGTGGCTCCCTGCTAGGGGTAGTTTGCTACTTTCCGCTATGAGTTAGTTTAGTGTGAAATTAGACCTCTGACAATTATCTCGTCTTCGCTGGAAGCAAGGATAGCGGGAGTGGTTGGATGTCAGGGTTTGGGGGTATCTCCTGGGACGTCTTATGAATCTGGGAGGTTCATAGGTTAGTACAGACTGGTTGGATAAAACCAGAGAGTTTTAACTTTCGAGTGCTGCACCCCAGAATAGTCTGCGCAGATTAGGAGTCATAGACCTTCAGCTTTTAGGGCATGAGCGCAGTAGTTCCAGAGGCACAGAGGCTTTGTGTGGGAAAAGGCCCCACGCAGCCGATTTCACGTGGAGGCAAGCAGTAATCCCTCCTGAATTCCCGTCAGGGCTGGTGTTGACAAGCGGGTTGGGCATGAGCTCACGGCCCCTCACCAGCCGGTCCCCCCACCTAACCCAGGCAGTCTGAACAATCTCAGAGTACGGTACCAGCATGTCTGCCATCCCCAGAGGAACAACTGTTTTGTCCATGAGCAGTTCTCACTCAGACCTAAGACAACCCCAGGGAGCTTGTCCTCACTCTCCCAGGAAAAGTGTCGGAATTTTATTAGCCAGGAAAGAGACAAAGCACAGGATGTCACATGAGAGAAAAATTACACAGGGAGATTTGGGAAGGCACCCAGAAACCAATGGTAATTTATGTAATCTTGGACAGAATGTTTTATTTTTAAAAACAAGTGTGGGTTTCGGGTAGGTGAAACATACATATATTTCAATTCTATCTTCAGAGACCTATGACCAGAATGTAGAAATCTCCCTAAAACACCATTCTTATCAGGCCATTCTGCTATTAACTCACACGGGACATCTGCTATAATAGGCTGCCCAAGGCTGTCAGTTTTCAGGTTACTTTTTATTAAGCTTCTGACCTTTGTTGCTTGGTTTCTTTGGCCTTGAATTGAATGTCACTGGATTTTGGCTAATATTTTGTTTCTGTTTCATATAACGTATGTGTTGGGTAGTTAACCTCTGTGCTTACAGTGGGTCTATGCATATCAAATAGATTATAGCCATCCTATAATATAAATCTGTTTGGGCAATTAGTATAAAACAGGTCCATATTGAGCCCCATGTCTCCTAGAGGGCATATGACTGGTCATATCAGAAAGATCATGTTTGACATCACTTTTGCCTCTAGGGCAGCGCAGTCCTGCAGGTCAGACCCAGGGAGCAGCCCTAGAGCTTGTCTCTAGGACAGTGGCAATTTGGGGAACAAGGATGTTTCTGTTTTCTGACCATCATGAGTCATGAGTGGGGGTACTTAGGTCATGAGTAGGGGTACTGGTTTCAAGAGAAGCACAAATTATATATTTCTAGATATTTATTTTCAAAAGTCCCTATGATTTTTCTTTCTTGACAAGACTAATGCGAGGAACATCTTCAAAACCAAGCATAAGAGGCACAGGAAATACTAGTAGACTTGGTTTAATACTCATGCTACGGAATAGGGCTTTGATCATGTCTTCATGGTAAGTCATAGGCTTTTTTAAAAAAAATTTCTGAGTTTGCAGGTAATTTGAAGTCATCTGTGATCATAGAATTGGGGAGGCATCGGATTTAGAGGGACTGGAGTTTAGTCTCTTTCTAGACTTCATCTTCACTGGAAATTCCCTGGAGGTCACTCTCCTTTGAGTTGTGCTTGTGAGTACCAGGCGGGGTAGTAGTCTGGGTTTGCTTTGATGTCACGGTGAGAGGTTTGTCACAGGCAACACAGGAAGTGAAAACCCCCGAACAGTTATACGATGGTCTGGCCGTTGGGGGTTTATAGATGCTAGAGTTTGTCTGGATTGAAACAAGCCAATCTTGATTAGTCCTGGTGAATTGTCTGTTTAGCAAAAGCCTGGGCAGCAATGGTGAGAGATCTGTTGTCTATATCCAGAATTGTCAAGGAGAGGGGTTGGTCTAGATATCCTAGATGAATAAAGCTTGGAATCAATTGAATAACAACATTATTTAATTTTAAAAAATTTCCTTGAAATCTCTATCTTAGTGAAGTAGGCATTTCTCTGTTGTAGAGACTTTTCTATAATGTATAATTTCTACCATGTCCAGGGCTGCCTCTTGTTAAGTACCTACTATGGGCCAGGCAGTGTGGTATGTCCTGTATATAAAACATTTCATTGCATGATTAAAATAATCCTCTCAGATAGATGTTAGCTCCATGTTACAAATGAAGCAACTAAAATACAGAGACGTAAGTCGAACTGCTCAATTACATGTACCTAGAGATTTGAACCCATCACTCTGCCTCCTCTGGAACTTATTTCTTCCTCTCCTATCCCCAAACTTGCTCCTTTGCCTCAGTTTCTTCTCTCTGTTAACAGTAGCCAAGTGAGATTTTTGGAGTTATCCTCTACTCCTGTTACCTCCCCTCGCCCCCACCCTGGAATCAATTCCTAAATCTGGTTGATGCCAACTCCTTAATCCCTCTTGTCTCTGTTCCCTCTTCTGCATCATTGCTTCTTCCATAAAAGGAACTAGGCCCTTAACTAGTTTGTGAATTAGGTTCCAGTTGGCTCCTCCCTACCCGTGCCTCTGTCCACTTTCCACCCTGCTGCCAGAATTATCTTGAAGAACTGTGGACCCGGCCTGGCTGGGTAGCTCAGTTGGCTAGAGCATTGTCTCCATACACCAAGGTTGCCAGTTCGATCCCCAGTTAGGGCACATACAAGAATCAACCAATGAATGTATGAATAAGTGGAACAACGAATTGATGTTTCTCACTCTGTGTCCCTCTCCTTTCTCTCTAAAAATCAATAAATAAAAGTGAAGGGAAAAAAAGGAACTGTGGACCTGATCATGTTACTGCTCCACCCTTTCATCACTTCTGGGAAAAGCCCCAACTTTTTGACATAACCGGCAAGAACTGCTGGTTTTTCTGGAACCCCATGAACTTTAGCTAACCAGACTACTGCTTGAATGGACCCTGTTGGATTTTATGTCCATGCCTTTGTCAGATCATGGTTCCGCCTTATGTTGGTGATGGATGCCTGTTCTTTCTTCAAGACTCAGTCCCAGTGTTACCTGCTCTAGAATTCTCCCCCTCAGTCCTGTCTCCTACATATCCGTGGTCTCAGCACCATGGGCCCCCATCTTATTTTGCATCTATTTTAATGCATTGTTTAAATTTTATTTAGCTATTTAAAATAGGTTATATATTCACATGAAACAAATTTTAAATGCTATAAAAATACACAGTGAGAAAGAAAGAAGTATGTGTCCCTCAGTGCCTGTCCTCAACAGAGGCCATTTTTATGTTTCCTTTTGAAGGTTCAAGGAGTGTATTGGCAAATATATGCATGAGAATTTTAAAATCTTTTTTACACAATTGGTAACATCCTATTATATATACAGATTACATATACACACACATATACAAAAACAAGAGGCCCAGTACATGAATTTGTGCACAGGTAGGGTCCCTTGGCCTGGCCGGCGATCAGGGCCAATCGGGCCGTCTCGCCCAGTCCTGATCAGGGCCATCAGGCCGGCTGGCCAGGGGGAGGGACAGCGGGAGGTTGGCTGTGGGAGCACACTGACCACCAGGGGTCAGCTCCTGCGTTGAGCATCTGCCCCCTAGTGGTCAGTGCGCATCATAGCTACCGGTCATAAAGGTTGCTTAGACTTTTATATAGATAGATATGTACATAAAAAAACTCAGAATGTGAAAGTATCCTTGTTTCCATTTTTGGCTGCATAATATTTTATTGTATGGCTAAATCAACGTTTATTTAACCATTTCCCTATTACTCAACATTGTTTCCAATCTTCTACTTATACAAACATCGTAATGAATGCACACCAATCCGCTTGTAGGAAAGACACGTGAACTGCTGGTCAAAAAGCATGTGCTCATTGCATTTAACAAAGACAGTGCCAAATGAGGGGGCACCTGAGATGACACAGCTATCTCAGACTTCCTTGTGTGCCTCTCTCCTCAAGCCCCTTGACTGCCTGGTGCCTCACCTTTGTATCCAGAGCTGCCTGGTGTGCAGGGTATAGCGCAACTACCCAGCCAGCCTTTGGGGTCAGTCAAAACATGTCTCGGTTTGTCCTCCTGCAGTGGGCTACTCCACCTAGACCAGGGGTGGGCAAACTTTTTGACTCAAGGGCCACAATGGGTTCTTAAACTGGACCGGAGGGCTGGAACAAAAGCATGGATGGAGTGTTTGTGTGAACTAATATAAATTCAAAGTAAACATCATTGCATAAAAGGGTACGGTCTTTTTTTTTTTAGTTTTATTCATTTCAAATGGGCCGGATCTGGCCCGCGGGCCGTGGTTTGCCCACGGCTGACCTAGACTATGCAATGAGCCGCCCAGCTGCCTCCTCATGTTCACTCTTGTTTCTTAATCAGGTTGTTCTCTTTAGAACACCAAATGGAGGACACTGCATCATTCCCTGTTCTGAACCTTTCAGTGGCTCCTGTAGCACTTGGAGCAACATTCAAGTTCTTTGTCAGACTTACTTGGTCT